TTACCACGGGATCTTCTACAATGTACCTCAAACACCTCTTCAACTTGTATCAGTGGAGCAACAAGAAGAAGATAAAGCTCTAACAGAAAAACTTAGAAAGAGAGAGGCGCGCGACTTTTTGTGTATCATGCGTAGAAAAATTCTGATATCTTCTTCTCTTTTCCATGAGCCTAATCTATATCTATATATATATAATTGCTAGGCCAAGCATTTAATAAAACCTAAAAAAATTTCCCTCCAAAAGAGGTTACTTTGCATTAATTAAGTATTTATATTAATAATTTGTTTTATTATATAACAACTACTCCTAATAAATTATAAAGTCACATTAAATGTTATTATAATTTAAACTTTTTTTCAAACTATTTATTTGTTTTTTTTATTCATTAAGCAAGATTTTTTATTAATTAGTTATTTAATTTTTGTGATATAACCAAAATTTTTAAAATTTTGAACACAATTTCTATAATAATAATAATTTTAATATTGTTTTATCTAATCAATTGTTCATACTAAAAAAATTGCAAAAATTATATAATTGCATTCGATATAAAAATTTATATGTAAGTTAATAGTTATCGTTCATTTTTATTAATGATAAAATTTATAAAATGTGATATGTTATTATCTAACTTATGATTTTAAATATTACATACATATAATATATAAAATGTTCTTTGCATCTGTGCATGTGCACAGTGTCGAATACTAGTGGTGTATATATAGAGCTATAGTAGGGACCCTTAAGAGGTTATGAATAGAGTTTCTTAATTAGTTGACTAACTGTAGGCCTGGCCCACTCCTCCAATAAATTAAATAATATTATGGGCCACTAACATAATATTATTGCACTCCCTTTTTCTAGCCCAAATTACAATTGAGACTCCAATAATAATTACTCGAATTACCTCTTCATGTTTAAGATATAATGTTCATTAATTAATTTGATTATTGATAATCAAGAATTAATTAAAATATTATTATTTCACCGAAGCCAGCGCTCGTTCATCACATTATTACTATGTCGGAATTTAATCCACCTGCAGGGTTTAGCATAATAATCCTTCATGAACTCACTTCAGGGACATCATCAAACTAAACGTACATGGTGACCTTAAATATCCTAATAGCACATCATACATTCAACAATATTACCCAAGATAGTAGAAATATTAATTCAGGGAACCGAACCTCACCATGTGAATCAAAATAATACATTGCATATATACGTCTATTTAATATCTTACGGGTTAAGAGAACGGAGTAATTAACCGAGGCCTAGTTTGTTTACGATGATCAGTATAAAACGAACTTCTCCTCTCTGGGATCCTGTTCAATACATAAATGTACTAGTGCAATTAATCAGTCAAGACAAACTGTACCATTGACACTACAACAGTTCGGATGGGGTTTTCATTTCCATCTAGGTTGTGAACCACAATTCTTGTTTCGCAAATGACTTATAGAATGATCTTCGGTTCGCCCGATGACGACCCATTCTATCTAAGTGCAAAACAACAGAACATAGAACATGTTAATTCTTACATGATTCTCATTCATAAAGGGTAAAAGTGTAATATCATCCAAAGTCAAGCTTTCAGTATATAACACTAACAGAACGTGGGTCGGGCCGAGATCAACAATCGGTGGAAGCTGATAAAAAGATAGAGACGACGAATTGTATGAACTGATCGTGCTTACGCTGATAAAAGACGAGAGCCATGAAATTAGTACATGAACCTGTGATAGGGATGAGGAGGTATATTATCTTAACCATGAAAAATATAAAATACATTCACTTTTTTTTTTTTTGTTATACATAGTGATACGCATGTGGATGATATTTTTTGTAATGCCCCAAACTCATGTCATTCATTTTATGCATATTTAGT